TTGTGATAATATCATCAAAGATAAGAAAAACAACATATAAAAAAAACTCATGATCATGGGTGGTGACATACAGTATATTTCAGTAACATCTAAACATGTCCAGTATAGACAGATAACGACCAAATACATAATGAACTGACTCTTGATGCTAATGCATTCTGAGGTTTCATTTAATTGTTAATAGACGAAACAAACTAGACGAGTTTTGCGGGAATACCTCTTCATCAGGAGTGACTAGATGTCAATAAAAAAGATTCAAATGAGTGATTGCCATAACATTAAACTTAAGACTAATGTACATTGGAAAACAAGGTTTGATGAAAATATAATCATAAGATCTTACAATCAGATGTTACATTCGAAGATTACATCACACATATCTGTTAAAATGTTTGATTATACCCGCCAAAGAGGACCAAAACCTGGGCCCACACAGTCCGCCGCTCTCTCCACTGATTATGTCTCTGATAGGCAAAAACAACTATAAAAATAAAAATGAATATTGGAAACCATGTGATGGGTTTCCAGATTTGGCTAATAGGCATTCTGTAAATAACTTGAATATTAAAGTGGTAAGGCAATCCAGAGATTTATGCCGTTATATTGATGAAGGTATTTGTAAACCAAGTACTGTTAGCAAATAAGAAGGTTGTGTGAAAAAAGAAGGGAATAAAACCTCACACACTTCAATAAAGAGATTTAGATAAGTACCCTAATGTGCAAAATATGCTGATATATCTTCTGCACCAAACAGTGCTACAATGGAATATGATCAAAATATCATTATTTCTGTCTATTTAGATCAAATATATTTATAACTTTATGAGTTCAGGTGTGAACTCCATAAAAAGTATACGCCAGTAACCACTTGCATATATATGAGCTAACATTTGCTCAAAAATGCAGCCAAGTTTAAGAAAAAAACAATCCCATCACATACTGACCTATCAAAATGTGTAACTTCCAAGCGTGGCACAGGGGTGATTATTTTCTTTCCTCCACTCTCCCTAAGTGTGGCCTTGAAGTGAACAAGGAGACTTATTTTAAATCCGCTGTATCATGATTATGAGGTTTTTTATATGTCGTTTTTCTTATCTATGATGATTTTGTCAGGGAGTGTTATATATTCCGATTTATGTTGTGGTACCTTAAAAATCCCGGTTTTCCTACTATCTATTAAAGATACAGTATGACATAGTAGGACTAGGATGCCACATCTAAAGCTGCAGCTCCTCATCATAAGAAGACCAGACATTTTTGTTAATCTCTGAAAAACTCCTTAAAAATGTTAAGGTTCATTTAAATATTCAAGAGCACACATACCAGGCCTATATCCAGGTTATTCAATAACTTTTAGCACACTAAGTTGTAATGCCAAGACAGGAAAAATGTCTATGTGACCTAATATACAGTATAGTAAACATGTTGTAAAAGTTGTTCACGCTAAGGTCATTGCAAATAACAAGGAGGTATGCTTTGCACTTGCATTCAAAGAAGTTTAGCCTCCACATATGGAAATGCTTCTTTACAGTAAGTGAAATTGTGGAATAGACTTCCACAGGGGCTCTGTAGCTTGCTGCAAAAATTTCAGTTGTTAAAACAGGGATGATTCAATTGCCTTAGGGGCTCAGGAAGGATTTTTTTCCCCGTTGAAGGATATTGGACCATGCGTTATAAGCAGGGCTGTCCCGACTGAGGTGGGGATGGCGTGCTGGCGGTGAATGGTTACTCCCCGGTGGTGCTGGCGGTGGATGCTCATTGTGGGGGCGTGTTCTGCTGGTGGATGCCCGTTACCTCGTCCAGCGGCTCTGTCTGCCATCACAGATCTGCTCATTGCTGAATATTTAATAGCCAGCTAAATCTTATTGTATAATATTTTACCCTAAAGAGTAATTTAAAAAGAAGTTATCATAATGTTTGGTCAATTGTGGTACATATTTATAAACTGTTATATATTTTCTTTTCATGAAATTTTATCATAGATTGACATTCATCCAATCTGAAAATTATTCTGAGCTTTCTAATGAGAAATCCCAGTATTGCCTGCCTGCTTTTTGAATGACTTGGTGAACCAATAAAGATGTCTAGGAGGGGGTGGGGGGTGCACCTGCTATTCAGATCCATTTTCACGATAGTAGCAAATGATCCTTCACAGGACATAGATCTCTTGCATAGAACACCCCTTGTTGGCTGAAATAAATAAATATGTAATATGTATATGCATTATTTATCTTATTAGAAATACATGCATTTTTAAGGTTTTCTGTTTTAGTAATGGATGTGGAATTGCAATGAGTAAATAAAAGTGATATAAAAAGTGATGCAACTGAGGGGCACTGGCTATTACAGAAACACGAGGCTATCCGCACAGAGTCTCCACATGGTTGTTATTCTTTACATAGCTGGTGGCACATTTGACCTGATCTGTAGATTTGAATATATTTAAAACTGGAGATATGTCACCTCATATTACACTGCAGTATTTATTGTATTTGTTCTTTATAAACAGGTTGTAGCTTGTGTTTTATAAAGTGAACCTGACCTGGCCTAAAAAATGATAATCTAACGGCAGTGCTCCAAGTGCCTGTGTTAGGCACAGGCTGCACACGGGGCTCACCAATTACCAGTATCTCTTGGGATGAAGGCTACTTGTATCACAATTATCTTTTTTATCATTTACATGTCTTGTCACGGCTAAATATAGATTCAGTTCTATTTAATGGTTTAACATTTTTACACATAAAACCCCAAGCAATTGTTCTTTGTTTTGGATATATTGGGGTAGGGTTTGAAACAATGTCAGATGTCCCACTTCACTGTAAGGCCGGCCATTCGTGGCTCGAATTTTGGTTGATTCCTAGTGAATGGGCCTAAATTTGAGCTGGGGTGGCCCTGTCGGTACGACAAACTTTAAATGCAAAATCAAAGGAGCTGGGTGGAAAATTGTTTGCTGAACAGTGACTGCAGTCAGTCCCAGTCCCTGTCGCGTTGTTCTGATAGCCGAAATCCAGCAGGGGAGATTCCTTCATCTATGTGATTAAAGGAGAACTATAGTATAAAATGTTATTAGCCCTTGCAGTGGGGCTACCCCAGCACTGCAAGGGTTGACTGCTTGTTTTTGTCTAGGTTAAAAAAAAAGTCATACTTATCCAATGCTCTGAGCCAGCTTCTTCTTAGACTGGTCCTTCCAGCCTCTCTCCCACTCCACTGTAGTGGTGTAAGGTCCCATAAATCATTATGTTCTATACACAGTGTATAGACCTGAGGGTGTTGAGGAAGGTTCCAATGCTGCAGCATAGGAAGAGAGAGGCTGGAGGAAGTGATGTGACAGCTGGGCGGCTCGGAGCTTTGGGTGAGTATAACTTTGTTCTTTTTTTTACTTGACAAAAAAAAGCACTTACCCGTGCAGTGCAGGGTAGCCCTACTGCAGGGGGTAAAAAAAAATGTTTTACTTCTTCTTCTTCTTTAATATGAAAGGGGGAATCGAGTGATTTCACCAATTCAGCTGGTGGGGCTAAATTGGAGAAATCTAGCCATGTATGGCAATCTTATGATCTCCTCAACAGCGACAGACACAGCAATAAAAACCTTATAGAAATTCAAAGCTTTTTCAATTAATGTTGTCATTGCTTTCTGTGCCCCTATTATAGAGATTCTCCTCCTGCTCTGATGACACAACAGCAAGTGAAAGGGAAATCTCCTTAATGAGGGCACAGAGAGCAATAAAAATGTATCGGGTGAATTTCTAACCCTTCATCACTTTAATTAAAAAAATCGTTTTGGCCGCTTTGTTTATAGATAGTACGAGATGATTTTCATATAATTGTGTCAAATTTTGTTTTTCAGCTTTTCTGTCAAAATGACTTCGCAGTTGCTTGCCAACATTAGTAGGAAGCCAGGTTTGCAGATATGGTCCATCGAGGTAAGAGTTTATTCTCCAGTATTAATATTTGTATTGACCCCAAAACAAAAGCCTAAAATGGGTGTGACTATCAGAGTCTATATAGACAAAAATGTATTTTCATACTTAGGCAGGTCCTAGACAACAGATGGTAGTTGGATACATTATGTGGACATGAAAGTGCACTTTTTGCCACACTATAGACATTAGACTATTTTCTTATTATTAACAAGTGGTAAATAGTTTTTAAATGATATAAGCCACCTCTAGCCACTCTAGCTGCTTGTAATGTTAAGTTATGTATTCTTAAAGATCCTCGAAGAGGACAACAAAGGCTGGGGATTCAGTCAGTTTCAAACAGCTTAGAAACACCTGCTGGTTGTTTACATTAGAAGGCTGATACCTGCCAAGATCTGCTCCCATCAAAAAGAGCTAAAATTTCAATTGCTGTTCAACCATTTTTCACCACAATGTTTATAGACACAGAGATAATTGAGGACTTATTACAATGCTTTAACTGCTTGCTTAGAATATGTAATGACATAAGTGTGCATGATCTGGCCACTTTAATCCTTCTGCTGCCAAGGCATTTTAGCATATTTGTGGCCTGAAAATTACTTACACCCCTAAAACATTATTTATATTCTGAAAGTAAAGATCCTGTAGAATAAAATGGTGGTAGCTGCAAATTGTTATGTCACTCGAAATTAGCGCAACTCTTTATAAAACTCAAAATTTTATTAAAAATACACAATACACAAGTTAACGTGATATTAAAGCTTTATTATTTTATTTTTATAACTGGGAGGTTTTCTTTATTGCAGATCTTTTTTTTTTTTATTTAAATTTCTCAATTCCTAACTTTCTAGTGGGTCCCCAAATGCCCTGCACGGGGTGCTGCCAGCAGCTAAGCGACTGCTGTGGAGGCACCCGTGAGTGCTTGTTGCCGGCTGTGCTTTCCGTTCAGGGCTAAGTCACTGCTGTGCAGGTGTGAACATGTTAGGTCAGTTCATTTGTAACTGTGGTGCGAGAATAAATGGATGCCCCACTTGTGATTTGCACGAAAGAAGAGCAGTGTGCAGTGATTTGTTTTTTGTGGTCTGAGGGTGCCTGAGGGTGCCTGGTGCCATTATTGATCAAAGACTTTGTGCGCAGTATGGAGAAAGTGTTTTGTCGTGAAGACGTGTGCATGAATGGATAGAGAAGTTGAAGGAAGGTCACACAAGTGTTAGCCATCAAGAAGGAGCCGGACGACCTGGCTGATGGCAACATTGAGCGTAGATGTGAAATTATTCTGTCGAATAGACGAGTGATCCTGCTCCATTGGACTTTCACCTGTTTGGGCCCCTGAAAGCAGCCCTACGAGGACAAAGATTTACCTCTGATGAAGAAGTGGAGACAGCGGTGCATTTGTGGCTCACAGCTCAGCCCAAAAAAACTTTTTTAATGAGGGAATACAAAAGCTTGTTGACAGATGGACAAAGTGTATTCAAAAGCAAGGAGATTATGCATCTGTCTTTTCTAAAAGTTGATTAAAATACATTCTACAGCCAGAGTGTGGATAATTTTTGACTCACCCTCGTATATATTAGGGATGCACCAATACTGATACTGGTATCGGTATCGGTGCCTTACCAATACTTATTGTATCGATATTTACCCTGATACCAGAACCTCAGTGCCGTAAGGGACATGGAGCCGGCTTCCTAGCTAATCAAGAAGCCGGGAGGCGGGTCATGATGTGCTATCCGGCTTCCTGATTGGCTAGGAAGCCAGCTTCACAGTGCCTTGTGACACTGCGAGGCAGCCTGGCTTCCTTACCAATTAGGAAGCCGGACAGCACATCATGACCCGCCTCCCAGCTTCCTGATTGGCTAGGAAGCCGGCTTCACGCTGCCTATCGAAAGCACACCGGCTTCACGCTCCCTCACAACACTGCGAGGCAGCTTGGCTTCCTGACCAATCAGAGAGCCGGGCGGCATGTCATGACCTGCCTCCCAGCTTCCTGATTGGCTAGGAAGCCGGCTTCACACTGTCTAGCGACACTCCGAGGCAGCCTGGCTTCCTGACCAATCATGAAGCCGGGCAGCACGTCATGACCCGCCTCCCTGATTGGCTAGGAAGCCGGCTTATGGTGCCTCGTGACAATGTGAGCCAGCCTGGCTTCTTGACCAATCATGAAGCTTGAAGGCACATCATGACCTACCTCTCGACCATCAGTAAAAAAAAATATATTGGTACTCGATGCAGAAAAACAGTATTGATGCATCTCTACTATATATTTAATGCAAAAGGTAGTTTAGGCACTCACTTAAAGGACTTGCAAATAACATAAAATATTTGTTTTATTGTGCCGATGTTTCGGCAAGTCACAGCCCGTCTTCTTGAGAAAGGCAGGCTGTGACTCGCCAAAACATGAAGCAAACATGTTGATTTCTTCATCCTTCTTTACAAGCCCTTTAAGTGCATACCCTACCTTTGGTTTTAGTATTTTTATGGGTGAAGCACCAAGGCATTTACTTGGGATTGAGTGCTGATACCACTCTTTTATCTTTAACATAGATAGATAGATAGATAGATAGATAGATAGATAGATAGATAGATAGATAGATAGATAGATTGATTTAACATTTGTGTTTCAGCTGTGCTAAATAAATAAAAAAAGACAGTATTATTCTCACATCAAAAAAAAAACAAACAGATTTTCAATTTCGCTCTCCATGAAATAACACTAAATTGAGCATTATATGTGTTGCTGTCAGGGTTTTTTATGTCTGTCATTATCCACAATTAAATCAGACCTAACTCTGAATTGGAGTAGTAAGACAATCAGGTTGCCAGTTTTCACTCATCGAGTAATACAGTGTGTTTCCTTATGATACACACATTGGTGACATGTCAACAGTATGTTGTCACAGCCGATGAACTGCTATTGTGATTCTTGAAGATAGATGTCAAGGCTTAAATAATCCTCTCACTATGCTCTGTCTTTTCTCTCACACATCTTCATAATAGACTTTGCATGCACCTGCCCTTGTTTGTAATGATTGAATTAATCTGGCTTCCCATAGCAACAATGGAGTTATTGTAGTGCACTGCGCACGCAGTATGCCATCGCCGTATAAATAAACTATAAGGTAGGAAAACAGAGGATGTTAGAGGAAAAGAAGAAAAAAAAAGGGTTAAAAGGAGGAATTCAAGAAAGAAGGATTGTTAGTGGGTAATCTCTCTTGAGAGAATATGGGTATGATGTTGTGCTCCTCACTTTCTGAGATTGCTAGCTGCCTGGCTATCACCGTAATCCAGTCGCTCTTTTACTGTATGAGTCACAGAGCTGGTACATGGATGCAGATCAGGAGTCCTGACTTTACACTGACTTTCTAATCATGCTTGTTCTGGGTAAGTACCTAAGAAAATATTGAGGCCAGAGGCAGGCAGGCAATTAGAAGGAGGCCAGTAATTAAAGCAGGAGGCAGCAATGACAGCCTGGCAACAAGCATTTCAGAAGCAGAGGTTAGCCAATACAGAATTTCAGGGATATTCACAAGGTTGAAGAGTTTGGAAAAGACAGGAGAAAGGAACAATCTAGGACAACATAGCTGAACTGGAAAGTGAGCTGAATTGGAGCATTTTTTCCAATCAACTATATTGTCCTAGATTGCTCACTTCTCCTGCTTTCTCCTAACTCTTCACCCTTTCTTGAATAACCCTGTTCATTTTTCTCTCATTGACAGTTTACCCTCAGAAATTTCTGTTCTGAACTTGTATAAAGTGGAGAATATGTAACTGGGCAACATATGGTAAAAATAGATGGATCCTAAAAGATTTTCCTAGGAGTTGGACGGGGTTTGGTTGTAGACTCCAATTGGTGTGGTCCCTGGGACAGAGAAAAATAAATTATAAATAAATTAAAGTAACTGCTTTCTAGAAGGCTCCACAACTGCTGATTTTCCTCTGCTGATTCATGGCAGCATGATTTTTAACACAAAAGCAATATGGTGTCTCAATCTGTTCTATAAAAAATAAAAATGTGATTTGACTGTGATAGATTTACCTTAAACTAGACAGTCTCTCAAAACTTTTTTTCAGTTTTGTATAGAATGGGGAAGAGGTAGAACCTCTGTTGAGTGTTCATTGCTGCCTATTAAACCCGTTGGAGAGATTTCTCCTGAAGCTGGCTTTATAGTGAACTGGCTGAAATTTGCTCAGTTGGTGGCCCTGTCAGTACCCTTACTTCCGGGATCCTTCAATCAGAAATTCAAAGGAACAGGTTGGAACATTTCCGGGTGAACAGTGACAGCAGCCAATAGGAATTTAGAATACAATAGCCCAGCAGGAGATTTGTTTAGCATGGATGGAGGAAGCTTTTTTTTTTGTTCAGCCCGCATGTTGATGGGGAAAAATATAATAGTGCATGGCCAGCTTGCTAATGTGGCTCCAGGACAGGAAGCAATGAGAATTTATTTTTAAGTAAACTTTATTAAATTAGTAATGCAAAGAAGTGTTAGAACTTCTATCATTTTTTTTCTTATTGTTGTCTGGGATCTCATAGCCTTACTCCTGTTGTGTTACTGGGACAGGAAGTTGGAAAAGTTCACCCCAAATGGTAGGATTAAATAACCGACAGATGTTTAACCCTTCCCCACTCTGTCTAGAATGTAAGTTTCATTTAAAATGTATTGCTTACAAAAGAGAAAACAACATTAATATGGTCAAATATTGTAACAAAAAGTTTTGAAAATAAAATGTCAAATATATAGAAAGTTTACAGTAATTATCTATTGAGTGCATAGAAGCAGAATCTTTTTGAATTGTATAGGTATTAGCCAGTAAATCCCAAGGCTCTCCTTGAGCTCTGTAATTTCCATCTCTAATTGATCACGCGTGGCAGACACACCTCATGTAAATATATACTTCAGTCTAAATGGTAAAATAACCCTAAAGTGCACACTGGATGGTACACAACCTTCTTGAATAGCACTTCAGTTTTTCACCTAGGGATTGTTACTTTACTAGTCCTAGTGATGCTGGAACACACCTTGCGGTAATGCTGGGGCACCAACCTTGCTGCCACACACACACAAAAATTCCTGTAGAGGGGTACATTTTTGAATTGCGTATTCATATGTGTGTTGCAGCTTTGTCCAGAATGCAGGTCTATAAATCTTCAATTGAAATTGAGGACAAGGTATAATGTATTTGGGCTCTGTATTAAATCCTGTTAGAACCCTGGCTGATTTCCTTTTTCCTGCCAAGGGCCATTTGGATATTTCTAACATTATTTACGGACCATACAAAACTATTAACTTAAAAATGAACGTGCTATATTTGGTCAAACATTCACATTCAAACCACTTTCAACTCGAATCTATTACATCTGAAATGCTAATGTATCACTTCAAAAAAAAACTAATTTTAAAGTATCCAAAGTATCCATAGTGTGCAACTATGTAAAGTGCTGCGTAAATTGTCGGCACTATATAAATACCAGTAATAAATAAATAGGTAACTGCTAACAGATAAGTTCTTGCCAGATTGTCGTGCTGCAAAATATATACATGTTAGGTTAATATGCGGGACGTTTGAAAATGACCTTATGGAAACTTGTGCAATAGTACCTTACTGCTAAGGTCGTGTTTATCTTGGAAAGCTGGTGTAAAATATTATGATAACTTTTCACCAACTATTTGTGATGTGGAAAAATCAATCTCCCCTGAATTTTCATAACAACTGCAATGTTTCTGAATAGCAAGGATTGTATCTCAGCTATGCTATATACAAATCATGGGACCATACCCATTCAAATTCTTAGGTGCAAGTTATAAACAGGTCTGATATGAGTGGGGTCCCCCATTTAATAAGACAGATCAGTCTATTTTAATTATTTTGTCTGCATGCTGAGTCATTAGATATGCCAAATGGCTTAAACTGTATATGCTTTATATTTTATTTCAGAAAATGGAAATGGTTCCACTTCCCGAGAAAGCTTATGGGAGCTTCTTTGAAGGTGACTGCTACATTATTTTATCTGTAAGTATCAGCACATAAAATTAAGTGCCATCTAAGCATATGTTTGTAAATATATATTGGACCTAACACATCTGTCATTAAAATATAATTGTCCTTATTCTTTCTAAAAATATTTGTGTAAGAACAGAACAAACATTAAAAAAAACTATGCAAACATTGGAACCTCTATTATTAAAAATCGGGTTTAAGTCTAGTATAGCAAATGACTAAAAGCTTAGCTTTGTTTAGTTGCTGTTGGTTAGAGCTCATGATTTTATTTCATTTCATCTGTTTTTGTAATGTGGAAACAGCTTTATTTATTTCCATTAACGATTTAACTATTTTTTGGGACAATGTTTGCTATATGTATGACATAAATGTCAGGAAAAGAGCCAGTGGTTCTCATAACCTCATGATCAGGGGTGTCCCTAAACTTATTGCGGCCTGAGGCCACAGTAGGGGTGGTGGTGCAGGCTACTGGGGGTTTGGGTTTTGGGGGGTGCTGTTGGTTTGCAAGGGTGGGTGCTGGTGGTGCACGTTACCTGTTCCGGCATCCTGCCCAGCTCCAGCTCACTGATGCCACTGGCGGGACCCTGGCCATAGCATAACAGGTTTCTAAGAGCTCTTAGTAACCTGGGACTCGTGAGGACTCCCCCATGTGACCCAAAGAGATGCCGTCTGAGGCAACCGCCTTAGGCTGCCTCATTATACGATGGCTCTGCCAATTAAGCTCACTAAAATACACAAATAACATGCGACTTTGGGCTAAAAGAATCATGGCGTAGCATGTGTGCCATTATGTCCAAGGGACGGCAGAAGAGCCTGCATATTAACATATGTGCCAGGCAAAATATTTGTGTCAAAGGAAGTTTTGTCAGAATGTATTTGACAATATATGGCAATTGTGTATGTGTGGCATTTCTACTGTACCTCCAGTTGTACATTCCCACATATATATATTTTTCTAAATGTAACCTTTTCTGGTTGTAGCTGCTTAGGATGATAATAATCTTAGTCAAAAACGTTCTTGGTAGTTTTCTTTACAGATATAATCCCTAATAAATAAATGTGGTTTAATAAAGCAGCTGTAATGTTTTCTTTGGAAACCCCTGTAAACACTCAAAAGGGTTAATTACAAGCACAGTAATCAAGGCAAGCCATCTGCGTCTTTCATTCACATTGGTTTTGCACAGGTGATCTCTTTAATGAGGAGGTAGTCGAGGGTGAAGAAATAGAAGGAATGTACATGTTTGCTAAAGGTGACACAGTATTCTGACAGGATCAAACAGAAAAAGCCAACCATGCTGGAACACATCCCAGATAATAGCAATACCAGCTCAGTGTGCACGGTAACTCGTGTCTTCAGTATCCGGCAATTCTGCATTGAACTAAAACAGAAAAAGTAAGAGTTCAGCAAGAAAAAGGACTGAGATGTGTTACTAGTGCACAATCAGATGTACAATAATCCAAGGCAAATGTTGACAGGCATGGTCATTGAGTTGTACTGGAATGCATTGCTGATACATAAGCAGGCCTAGTTCTGTGGGAAGGTCACACAGCCTGCAGCCTGAGGTGGCAACATTTCAAAGTATTTTCTGCTTCCTGGTTTATTATACCATGTTAATTTTATTAAGGATAGGATATAACAAGAATACATTGCATTTATATTATATGCAGAAGAAGCTGATTTCTCAAACATAGTACTGTAAAGCCATCATTCTCTGTGGTTGGCTCTGTAAAATGCCATATTTAAGGATAATACTGAAATGTAATGCCAATACGTTTCATCCTAAGCAGAGGAGTTGTACCCCAGATGTAGAGCATAATTTATGGATTATAAATCAGAACAATGCAAGAAAAGTGGGCAAGTCTGGACTTAGGTGGTACCACACACCTTAAAAATTTGGAAACAAAACAAACAGAGCAAAAGAGGGGGGCTTTAACAGTACCTAATAATGATTAAAATCATACGTATTTATAACATCATGTTAACAAACATTTATATATGTATGTGTGTGTATATATGTATATATATATATATTAATGGACATTCAAACAAAAATGAAATGATAGGAAAAGAGACGGTGAGAAAGACCTCCTTTGAACCTACAGGCAGCTGTCAATGTCAACGAGAATGTCTATACATATCCGCTTGTACGTCAATAATATTCCAACAGGCTAGCAGCCAAATATTCTGAACTATTTTAAACCCATATGGTTCACTTTCTCAACACGTTTCGTAAAAGCTTCCTCAGAAGGGAGGTGTTATGGTCGGCACAGAAGAGAAGGTCAGCGGTGTAAAAGCATATAGGTGCCACTGCGGTGGAGACCATAGGAGGGAATAAATCCAGGAGGGTGCAGTCAATAAGCAAAAGCACTGCAACAGTGATGGATCATGTGTGCCTCCTCCTACACAGTGCAGCCAGGTACTAATGTGCATGAAGAGATATTTTATTTTTTTATATTTGTATGTTTTTTAACATGATGTAATAAATATTAGGGATGCACCGAAATTTGGCTTCCGAAACATATTGGGCGAAAATTGCACTTTTGGCAAAATGCCGAAAGTGCCATCTTTCGGCCGAAATTGCGACACATGCCTGGTTTCTCTCCTCCTCGCTCTTTGTCCCCTCTGACACATCGCAGTGTCCATCGGGGAGAAGAGAAACTGTCACAGGAGGCCAAGCGGTGCAGGGGAGAAGGGCGATGTGAGCAGCGAGTGTGTCACAAGAAGATGTGCTCTTCTCCCGCACCGCTCAGCCTCCTGTGACAGATCAGGAGAGTGGTGTGGGGCAGAGAAAGCTGTCAGCTGTAACAGGAGGCAGGGAGCTGGCGATGAGGGGAAAGAGTCGGCTGTCACAGGAGACTGAGCTCTCCTCCCCGCACTGCTTGCTCAGCCGCTTGTGACAGCTGATCAGTGATTGCTCACTGTGTGTAAATAATTGAGAACATAGTATATGTACATCACTTCCTGTTGATTCATGATTATGGACTTGGTAAACATACTATCTCCACAAGTTACAAATGAACAGGAACACTCAGTATAGAGGCTTCCTGTTCATTTACAACAAGGGCTGCAGAATAAGAGATTGAGGGCTCTGTGTCCTCAATCTCTTTTTCTATTTGAAAAGGGAAATATCAGGGGCTTGTTTAGTGCTGTGCTAGAACTCCTGTATTGGAGGGGACAGGGTCAATAAAGAGAACCTGTCACCTCCAAATGCTATCACACAGGGGCTTGTTTGCTAGCTCCTGTGTGATAGCAATAAAGTTAAGTGAACAAAATAAGAAGAAATAATAATTAAATAAAAATAAATAAAAAGGTGATTAAAAAGTAAAAAATTATTAAAAAATAAGAAAATAACTATAAAAA